GACATGTTCTTAAACTGAAATGCACGGCTCAAAGAGTCAAGGCTTCAATTTTCGCCATTACACTGAATGAAAAATTCTTTGAAGCTTTAAACACTTAAACCTTTTCCCCCTTTAGTTTGCAGTTTTAGTTAGGTTTGAGTAGATAGAAGTATATAGATACAATAACAGTCCTTTAGTGCTGGAAAAGAGCAAGACAGACAGACAGTTTAGTTTTAGTAAGAGTTTTACAGCACTTTCAACACAATAAGGTCATATAAATGTCGAAGATTAGAGGTATTACAAGAGAGTAACAAACACAAAAAAAAGAAGGAGGGGAGATAAAGACGATAGATGTTGATAGGACAGAAGAAGCAAACCACACCATAGCACCCACCAACCACCCACCTGCAGCAATTTATATCAAAAGAGGCTTAAAATCCTCACCACAGAATGCCCCAGCATCTTCATGATGGAGCTCAGTTTCTTGATCTTCCAGCGGGCCGTGCTGCTGGCATAGCCGTCCACCCTGGGGACAAATTTGTCATTGTCTTCCGCTCCGATGCCGAGATTCATAAAGTGGACTCTGTCACCCCGCAGGTGGTCGGAGACACCCATGCTGTAAAAGAAATAATAACAATAATAATAATACTAATAATAATAATACAGAACAATTATATATAACGCATTTCCAAAAAAGTAGCTCAATGCGCTTTACATTGGAAATACCCGTTTTCAAAAACCTTTCTTACAACTTCCTTTCTTCTCATGCAATATATATTTATACACACACACACACACACACACACACACACACACACACACACACACACACAGACTATTTTCATTCAGACGTAGGTGCAGAACAACTATATTTTTTTTTAAATAACGCTAAAAGCTTGTGTCACGACGCAGTGGAATCAGGTGCTTGTCAGTTTGTGGGCATGTGGAATTATCGGTATCATCTTAAAGCTTGTCTATTTGTCTTGCCCTCGATGAAAAAAAAACATCCATATATCTTGAATAGAAGTCGAGATATTTGAGAATGAAGGAGGTGTGGGTCGCCGGAATCTGGTAACTTCTAAAGCTTGAGAGTCATTGAAAACCGAGAATGTACATACTTTAAGTGATTATTCAACGTTTTTTAATAAAATTCACATAGAAATATGTTTTCATATGTATATAAAAGGTGTTTAGGCAAAAAAGAAAAATTCGATAAATATTGTCAAACTGGAGGAAAAATGCCTGTTACTTCGATTTTATTATTTTGACGCGCGCCTGATTTCACCACGACCATCATCATCCATGCCTTTCACCCCTGGCAGGGTATAGGCCACATACAAGCTCCTTCCATTTATCTCTATCCTGGGCCAATCTTCCTAGCTCGTTCCAAGTGAGCTTCATCTCTCTAAACTCTCCGTTCAGAGAAAATCCACGACCAGCCAAGCAGAGATAATGGTTTTTGCTTGCATGTGTTTCTGTAACAAGTTCTTTTTACGAGAGAGGTGACTCACACCCCGACCTGGAGAGAGGATGACTCTGTTTCGGGAGTCACTACCTGGTTTCGGCATTTAGTCGCCTCCTATGACACGCAAGCACCACGTCAGTCCTATTCTTCTCAATGGCGGGACTGCACGTGCGATTTCACCTCGATGCCTCATATTTTCTACCATGTACCCGCTGGCCCAACAGCTCAGACTCGCAGCTGTGCTGCGGTAACTGATTTGAATCCTTGCATGCAGAAGATGTAGGGTTCTAGTTCTTTTAGTTTTGTTTTAGTAAGAGTTTTACGGCACTTGCAACACAATAAGGTCAAATAGGTGCCGAAGATTAGAGGTGTTACAAGAGAGTAACAAACATAAAAAAGAAGGAGGAGAGATCAGGACGATGTTTGATAAGAGGGAGCAACAAACCATACCAGAGCACGTGCCAACCATCCACTCTAGTTCTTTCTTACCAAACCTTTTGCTCATCTTTTCTGTTACAGATAGCTGATCTTTTCTGTTACCGATAGCTGAGCAAAAAAAAAGCGTAAAGCAGAAGTGACGTGCAACTTCACGACAAGAAAGAGGAATGCACAAGAAAGAAGAATAGATAAGAAAAAGATTCTATCTCCCCTCTCAAGTGTGCAACATTCAAGAGCAAAAGTATAATGTATGGACAGTGGTTGGGACTCGCTTGCTCTACTCCACTGAATGACAAGATAATTAACTCTTTAAACCCTGAGTTTTTTCCACCGTTTCTGGAGTTTTTTCTACAGTCACCTAAACCTGGTGCACTACGTCTCATTATAACCCCCAAATGTTTGCCTACAACATCTAAAAGGCGGAAACAAATGCTTTGAAATCATTACTAAAAAACTTGGTTCGGGAATAGTTCCGAAAACCAAGTTAAAAACTAGCTCTGAATAAAACGAAAATGTGGTCACTGGAATCCGATGGGGAACAGGGTTATTACCGCCGGACGCTGGTTATTACTGCAGGACGCTCCCAGCGTCTGATGGGGTTGAAAGAGTTAAAGCATTAAACAAGGACAAGAAGCTGACAGGTGATTCTACCAAAGGTGTGAATCTGACCAGGTCATTCTTCAGGCCATCAAAGTAGCTTATCGGTGGATTCTTAGAGCAAAAAAAAAAGCCTTATGAACGCAGGACCATCTTGAAATAATGGGAAACCTACCTCTCAGCGTCAGTAGGATTTCAATGGGTGGGTGTTTGGCGGATGCTGTGGTGTGGTTTGCTTCTTCTTTCCTATCAAACATCTATCGTCCTTATCTCTCCTCCTCCTTTTTTGTGTTTGTTACTCTCTTGTAACACCTCTAATCTCCGGCACTTATATGACCTTATTGTGTGGCAAGTGCCGTAAAACTCTTACTAAAACAAACAAAAGGAGATCAATGGAAGCAATGGTAACCACTTTGCTATGTCTATTTACCTTGGATCAAATGAGTAGACAGTACAGTTGACTCTAGCAAGTGCATCATCAAAGCGAAAATCATTGGCAATTCTGAAAAGTAAATAGAAAGTACAATGGTTTTATTGAATCTTATAAAAACATTGTGTGAGGCACAAAGGTACTCAAACAAATGTACAGAACTATACAGCAATAATGAAACTGAAACTTGCTTTTGAACATTACATTTTGGACAAAAAGACATAAAACGTACATAAAACTAAATTCAACTTTTGTCTTTGCGACCAAATCCACCCCACCCTCTTTTAATCTTTTAAACATAAGGAAAATAAAGTAAAGAGAACCAACTAACAAAGCCACAAGCTGCCAACATGTCCCGACGAGACACTTTTGGGACTTGACACAAGTGTGAGACATAGTTTTTTAAAGTTTTAGTAGAGGTTTTTACGGCGCTCGCAACTGCATAAGGTCATATGAGCGCCAGAAGATTAGAGTTGTTACAAGAGAGTAACAAACATTTAAAAAAGAAGAAGGGGAGATAATGAAGATAGATGTTTGATAGGAAAGAAGAAGCAAACCACACCAGAGCACCCACCAACCACCAACTGTTCTCAAGCATCAAACCTGCAAAACACAACAACACTCATTTCTCCCACAGACATCGAAAGCCATCTGCAATTACTCGTAAATGAGAGCTAGACATAGCCCTTCACGAAGATGAGCAAGTCAGATCACTTCTTGAAAAAAATACATAAAATTATATACAGAAAACCCCCAATCCCATCCTACTTTGTCCCTAACCAGGATATCAGGGCCAACTTTTGGAAATCAAAACTATCATTGCCAGAAAAGCAAGACCTAAGAGGTGAAAAATGGTATAGGTATAACGCTCCTATCAACACTATTAGATTATTTAAGAGGCAGGACCTTCGAGTTTAACGTCCATCTCCAAAAGGACGACCGGACCCAAATAGGATATTTGTATAAAGTGCCTTTCTCAAGAACACAACGCCAGACCGAGCTGAGGCTTGAACCCTCGAAGTCTGGTAACCTAACCAGTTGGCAAACAACACCACTAACTAAGGAGGAATAGGACATTAGCTGATGAGATCTTCGAAGACAACCAGTGCAGAACTGCCAACTTTTCAAAGCCAAATAATGTGCTGGTTGGCAGCTATACTAATGTATTTCAAAACTTAACCAGCTGCTTGCACTGCATGCTTCCCGGGAAGCTGAGAATGTTTCTGAGTGTTCTATGGTCTGCTGGGGTAATAATATAGTGTAAAGCGCATAAGAGCTTGCTTTCAAGTGGGGACAAGCGCCATACAAATGCTATTTATTATTATTATCATAAATATTATTAACTTTCAAACACAAGAAACTTGCCTGATAGTGGTCAACTTACCCAAAGGAGTACACGATACATGGCTTGTCCTTCATAATAGGGGAAAAAGGTTCGTCAAAACAGACAGGGTAGTTCCCCATCAGCCTTGTGTCTTTGCAGATATACTCCATCCTTTGCCAGTCCCTGTAACAATCAACATGTGTTGTTTTTTTTCTCAGTTTCTGCAGCATGCACAATGGAGAGATAAAAAAATTCCTAAGAGGAGCATAAAAATAGAAACATACACAAAGACATATTTTTAGCTTGTATTAAAAAGCTACATCAATTCCTCAAAACTGCTACAAAGCAATTTTTCTTTTTTTAAAAAGAGGGAAAAAATAATAAAGCTTCACAAAAACACTTTGGAGAAGGAGAAGGGCCTTTGATTGCCAATGAATTCTCTTCTTGCATCAGTAACCTCCTGGAGGAGCCTACTGACAATGTCACGTTCATAATATGTGTCACGACGCAGTGGAATCAGGCGCTCGTCAATTTTGGGGCATGTGGAGATACTGATATCATCTGAAAGCTGATTTATTTGCCTTGCTTCCAATTAAATTAATATCCATCTATCTGGAATAGAACTTAAGATATTTGCGATTGATGGAAGCGAGGTCGCCTTGTTCCAGTGGTGAAATTAGCAAGAAAATGGCTGCCAAAGTTTGGTAACTCCAATAGCTAAAGAATCATTGAAAACAGAAAAATGATATATTTGTGCCTTTAATCAATACTTTTCAGTAAAATTCACATGAAAATGTGTTTTTATACGGACATAAAAGAGGTTGAGCCCAAAAATACAAATTCGATAAAAATGTCCAAACTTTCGGAAAAATGCCTTTTTCTCCAATGTCTGTATTTTGACAAGCTCCTGATTTCACTAGTTGCCTCACATATACAGTGAGGGCTGTACTTATCAGACCACAACGCTATCTTGTCAAATGCAACCAGCGACATTTGTACCAGCTACAACAAAACTGTTGAACACAAATACCTTGAAAAAGAACAAATGCAAATGATAGTGGACAGCACACACAGTGTAATTGAAAGATCCCTGTAAAATGGTATGGTCTATGTGCTCAGTGATAGTCTTAACGTTTTTAAGAAAGCAAGACAATATGCCCCCCCCCCCCCCTCCCCTGAGGTTCGATTTCTGAACCATTCAGACCTGACTGAAACAAAAACAACCCTGTTGTAACAAACGTTCGTTGCCTTTGATACACACAGAACAAAAACATCCAGTACAAATTGAAGGTCTAGACGAATGGTCTTTTTCACTAACTCCATGGGGCCAAAAACAGTCCTGCCCCAGAAGACCCAACCAAATATCTGAAATAATTACTCTTAACTTTATAATTACTCATAAAACTATTATGATTTGCTTTTGCCGATTTCTCAAACGCCCGAGCAACCACTGGTGCTCGTCGAGTAGCGTTGATTAACGTGATTCAAACACCTAGACGCCGTCATACTGTCACTCAGGCGGTTGAATCACGCAGATTTTGGTAGGTCTAAACCACATATGTCCAGTAACTTTTATGGAAGAAAGCTTTTTAAAAAAAAGTCAAGTTTCAGACCATCGTCTTACATCATATCATATCATATACCTGAATTTCAGATTCTAGGAATGAGCATAAAGAAATAAAAACATTTTTTGCTTCTCCAGAAAAATTTGTCTCTTGGCTCCTATGCGGTAGAATCATGCGGCTTGCGATATATATATATATATATTAATACATGTACACTCAAGAATATGCCATAAGACCAAGTGTGTGTTTCAGCACTGCCAGCTTTTACACATGATTCTTTAAACAAATGTGAGGCAGCGTGGTGAAATCAGGAACTCGTCAAAATAATGAAAGTCAAGAAACTGGCATTTTTCTGCCGGTTTGGGAATTTTAATCAATTTTTTTTTTTTTGCTCAACACCTTTCATGCCCATTAAAAAACACATTTCTGTGTGTATAATACTGAAAAACGTTGATTAAAGGCACAAAGGATGTAAGTTTTCAGTTTCCAAGGACTCTCCCGCTAAGGAAATAACTCAACTTTGGTGGCCATTTTCTTGTTAATTAAACTTCTGAAACCAGGCGAACCCCACCTCCTTCAATTGACAATATCTTGACTTGTATCCAAGATAAATGGATATTTTTTTTCATCAAAAGCAAGGCAAATGGACAGGCTTTAAGTTGATACCAATAACACAATATGCCCCAAAATTGACGAGCACCTGATTCCACCGCGTACTGGTACTTGAACACCACCATACTACACACTATGGTTCTCAAGTGACTTCAAGAAATATCCTACTACTGCACATAAAATATTTATTCATATTCGCAAGTCTCACCGTTCCAAGATGCAAGCTCGCTGCCACCATGTAAACTCTCCTTGTGTGGTATATTGAGCATCTGTAGAACAATTTGTAAAAATAATGAATATAGTCTTTTGACTTTCTAATTACATCATAAACAGGACTAGCCACACTGATCTGTTGTTATTCCTATCAAAGTAACTAAATCAGTCTTATTGTCCAACTATTTTAAATAATCAACTCTGAAGATCACCAACCTACTGACATTATTAAACTGAAACAGATTGAGCAAACGTATATTCCCTCAAAAAATACTGTAAGAGTATTTTAACATTGAAAGAAATATAATTCTCAACGTGTGCATTTCTCATTTCCAGAAACACTCTAGCAAAAAGGTAAATGAAATTCATAATCGAAAGTAACAATTTTTCTCAAGGACACTGAAGTTATTCCAAAGGCAGAGCAATAGGCACAGTGGTTAGAAAAATAAACAAAGGGATTAAAAAGGAAAATGCGATGGATCATTTGTAACCACAGTCCTCCCCCCACTAGTACGAGTAGGGTACGAATACAAAAAGAACTAAAAATTCAAAACTTTCCTACGCTTTGCAGTGCATACATGTTTTGCATATTTGAGAAATACATCATTCCACACTACAAAAATTTAGTTACGCTCACAATTTTGCTTTCTTTTTTAAATATTTTATATATATAACTGAAATCAATACATACACCGAGACTGTCATCAAAAACACAACACACATAACATTTACTCACAAGTCTGGCTAATCACTACAACATTATTATATTATGACAATGTAGCCACGCTGGCCATCACATAACACATTACAAAGCTAATGGCACGAGATTCATATAATCTTTCCTCAGGGTACAACAACAAGAATACCTACAAGCATTCAAAACTCTAGAAACTATGAATATATAACCCATCGCCCTTCCAGCCAAAGTATGCACTTACTTTTCCAGACTTGACAGACATCCCCTTTCAAATATAAGAAAGGTGAGAAGCGCAGGGATGCTGTGGTGCTCAGAGACAAGATGAGAAGGAAGGCAAACGAAGCAACAACAATTTGAAGAACGAGGCGCCATCCTGTGGCTGGTGTGAGCATCTGCCTCAGCCACAGTCCAAACTCCGGGCGTAATGTTAACCTCATTGTTCCTGGAGGTGAAGATTTACACTGAGGACATGGATCATTTCTGTTCAATTAGCTGGCAAAATAGAACCATCACACATATGTGTTGCCACGCGGAGGAATCAGGCACTTGTCAGTTTTTCGGTACATGGGGTTATTGGTATCATCCTAAATCCTGTTCATTTGCCTTGCTTTTGGTGAAAAAAATATACATCTATCTTGAAAAGAACTTGAAATATTTGCGAATGAACAAGGTCAGGGTTGCCTGGTTTCAGAGGTGAAATTAGCGAGAAAATGGCTGACAAAGTTTGGTAATTTCCATATCTTGAGAGTCCTTACAAACTGAAAAGTGACATTTTTTGTGCCTTTCATCGATGTTTTTCAGTAAAATCAAAACAAAAATGTATTTTTAAAAGGATATAAAAGGTGTTGAGCCAAAAAAAGAAAATTAGAAAAAAATTGCCCACCAGTCAGAAAAATGCCAATTTCTTTGATTTCACTTTTTTGACAAACACCTGATTTCACCATGATGCCTCACATATTATATAATAAATGTGAGCCACAACACTATCAGTTCATTCGGTGTCAGCATAGCTCTAATAATTTATTTTGCCTATTGAATTTTAAGCCACCCATGGTTTTGTTTCGTTTTCTATTCACTGCTTACTTTCCAGAGTAACCTTGCCTGGCCAAGACTCCAAGCAGGCTATGACAATGATCGCACAGAGTCTGGGCCTAGAAAAAAGTTACAATACCTCCCCCTTCCCCCTTTTTCATCCTCACCCGATTCAGACTATAACTTCTATAATTAGCATGATGACACAGTTTCCCCACAAATGTTCTGAGAATTGAGAAGTGCAATTAAGGAAGAGAAAAATGTTTGAATATGATCAGAAATTGTTGTGTGTTAACTCCAGTTTTTTTTGCTGCGGATCACATATAATACTTAAGCCACTTAAACGGACGGACTTCGGTAATGAGCGAACACCCCACAAAGACAATAAAGAAGAGACCTAATCCTAACCCAGATTTCATATGAAGATGTCTACATGCGATTTCTGTTGAATATCTTTTGAACCAGTGTCAGCTGTGCACAGGCTTTGAGGCTCTGTTAGGGATTCGGTTGAAAGACTGAAAAAGGTTTGGGATACTGCTTGGGGGTGAAAAAACATTTTTTCAAGGATTTTTTTTTTTTGTGAGTTAGATCTAGATCTTTAACAGATGATCAGTGTTGAATCCCAACATTCCATAACTAAAAACCTAAACGAAATAAAAAGGGTGGAAAAGAAAAAAAGCAGGTGAGAATAATATATACAAGTGGAGTATTCTCACCCCGGGTGAGAGTACCCACACCAATTATAGAAAGGGTATTATAAGGGCTCTATATAAGGGCTCTATTTCTCCGAACGTTCGGGAAAATAAACTTGAACTTCTTTATTTCTCCAAATGGTTTCCGTTCTCGGGATTTGTCGATAATAAGCCAATGGAGTGGCCTGTGTGTGTGTGTGTGTGTGTGTGTTCTCTTGTAACACCTCTAATCTCCGGCACTTATATGACCTTATTGTGTGGCAAGTGCCGTAAAACTCTTACTAAAACAAACAAAAGAACTGAAATGCACGGCTCAAAGAGTCAAGGCTTCAATTTTCGCCATTACACTGAATGAAAAATTCTTTGAAGCTTTAAACACTTAAACCTTTTCCCCCTTTAGTTTGCAGTTTTAGTTAGGTTTGAGTAGATAGAAGTATATAGATACAATAACTGTCCTTTAGTGCTGGAAAAGAGCAAGAGAGATAGACAGTTTAGTTTTAGTAAGAGTTTTACAGCACTTTCAACACAATAAGGTCATATAAATGTCGAAGATTAGAGGTATTACAAGAGAGTAACAAA